AAGGACTTGTGTCGCTAAAGTTTCGTCGGAACGAAGCTACGGAAAATCAATTAACAAACGGAGACGTAACAATACATTATAATTAATGATGTTGAATAAAGGTGAAAATCCTGCGCTGGTTGTAACAGACAGACACAGTGCATAATTGTGTGAAAAAAAAGTTTAATATTTTATTTGTTTGAAATATTTTTAATTCTAAAAGTCAATATCCTTCGTTGGCGCCAACGTGACATCAACAGGCATGGAAAGGTAAAAAGTTGACAAACTAGAATAAACCTACGTATCTCGTCTATTGAAAAGGCACACCAGCCTAACAAATTAATAAGTGTAAAACATCTTTTAAAAAAATACTGGGCCGTTAAATCAATAAGTGTATAGCATTTGCTCATTTTTATTTTTTTGTCTAGTTTATCAAGCTAACGATCTTGGGGACGTCAACTAATCTTGAAAAATGTTATTTACTTGTTTCAGTTAAACTTTAGGCTGAGTGGACATAATATATTTGAAAACTTTCACGGACTGCAACTGCCTGTTGAAAGAAAAGGAGACGACGTTTCGCCTTCTATAATGATGCCTTCTTCGGGAAGAGGGCCTCCGTATAGAAGCCAAAACTTCTAGAAATGGGATGATTTGTCAGAGAAAACGGACAGAGATGTTAAATATATAAAAACAGTACATTAATTTACAAAGAACAAATTCCACCAGTCCGTATGAAACGTAAACTAGGGTATGTCAAGAACGTTTCAATTCTCATTATGCTGATTGGCGATGTTTATTGTTTTTTTGGAAATCATTAATATCAAAAAGTACTTATCTAAAGTTATTTCTTTACAACGCTCTTAATGCAGTATTGAAAGTTCAAACAAATAACGTAATCAGCTAAACGTTTGGGGCAAATCTCGACTTAGTATTAACTTCACACAGGCTAATCGGCCAGGTCGGCGACCACAATCTGCTGACCAAAAGGAAGACAACAACTGAGGAACACCGGCCCCCTACTCAGCTACTTATAATCAAATAGCGGAATTGACAGTCATTTTTATAACGCGCTCGTAACTGAAAGGGAAGTGCGTGTTCATTGGCAAATCGCGAACTCAAACCTTGGGCCTTTCAATCCATGTATGACTTCCAATAACAAAATTGTGTTTAGCAAAAACAGTGGTATGTGTCAGTTATGTGCACACATTTTCAACGTTTTTGTTAAATAGTGACACTAAATTTCCGTAGTTAGGTGTGATTTAAAGAAAATATTTAATTAACTTCCACTTCCAGAACTCTGTAGATTATTAGTCTTATTTTTTTTTCGAAACGTCCAAGTACGTTAACGAATTAAACTGACCCTATCCCTATGGCGTGGATGAACTATGGAGTCACGTTCGTAAAGCAAAACTCCTGCGGTCATGTCGTTGTTATTTATGATATCAGCACACTGTCGACCCATCGACACGTGCCGTTCGGGGCCTACTCCGCACGGTCTTCCCACGCTTCCTGAACAAGGAGTTTGTAAATGACGCTCCAGTTTTGTAGCTCCTTCCTCCAATTCGTCCCTCCCCATTTCATTTTGTAATGGACTCGACCATCTAGCCACTTGCTGGAAAAAGCGGCAGTCGCGTTTCTTGTCAGTACAAGGAGTTAGTGATAGGACGAGGATCATACCTTATTTTAAATATATAACTATTCGTGGGACCTTTCGTGCTGTTGCTGGACTGTTGATTTTCACACACATGAAAAAACTGTTCGTGGAATATTAATTATAGAAATTTGCTTTTTTGAAGTAATAACCTATAAGTGGAAAGGCCTTGATATTATACAATTTTTATTGTAGAGTGTAGATATGAAAAAACCCGTGGCAGGTGTGGAATGCTGTCTCAATCCCAAGTCTTTTGACGTAAGCTGGTGTTAGCGAATGACATCTTTAGCACTTTCCGCATGTTGAATGACACTTGTCAAGAACCAGTCAACTCGTTTGCCATGTTTACTTTATAGTTGGTGTTCAACTCGAATGAGACTTTCAATGGCTAGCCCCTGCGCACTCTGGTGTGGCTTTCTGGCAGCATCGATGATCATTTTCAACAACGTTATACTTACAGTTGTTAATGGGGCGTCTGACGATTGTGATTGGCTTGGAAGGTAAGTTGGTATATTTAGGAAATTTAATAAAACTTTACGCACTACTGCAGATGTTTCTTTAAAATGGCATCAAACTGTTATCGTTACAAACTAACATTAAAGAGCACAAACTAATCTAAATAAGATCGGGGCGTGGCCTAAAGGTCAGCGAGCCCATACCGTGAATGCGAGGATTCCTGCTTCGCGTCCCGTTACCACAAAAGCTCGTTCCGCACATTGGGGCCATGAGTGTGCCATAAAAATGACGGTCAAATCCCACTATTCAGGCAGACAAGAGTAACAGACCTAGTTAACGGCTAGTGCTGTTAACTAACATCTTGCCCTTTAGTTTATCAGTATGTATAAAAAAGGAGCCTCTGTGTGTAGATATGTGCATTGAGCTTCCTTGCACATTAGAACAACTTAAGAACCTTTTCTTAATCCTAAATTAATATTAACTTCCAATCAGAGCAAACTACATGCTTAGAGCGAAACTAAAAATTAACCTAGTAATTAGTATAGCTAATTAGATATGCTTTTCTTACTTTATGAGGATTAAAATGTATTGTTTCATCATTTGGGAACCCTCGCTGTTATTAGTGTTAACGATATTTGCAACCGTAAATAAGATAAGCCAACAGAATTCATAACGTTTTGACCCAATATAAAACGTACTCGAAGTTCCACAACGCTTTAAGTATATACCATAATGCCTAATCGAAACATTAACTAGCATCGAGCGATTGCAAACAACGCTATGATTGGCTTTGTTGGATCAATGCTTTATGGCTTCCATGGTTTGCCATAAGTGCCACCTATAGGATCTTGTGAGCGGCAACACGTTGGACACATTTTCCTCCTTGTAGAACTACATTTTAAGCATATTTGACGCAATGCTGTTACCTGCATCTTTTTGTTATTTGTATTGCAGCTTCAGTGAAATTTACATTATCCATCTCTGAGATAATATTAATGCTCTCGATTGTTCGTTTGTTTTGAATTTCGCGCAAAGCTACACGAGGGCTATCTGCGCTAGCCGTCCCTAATTTAGCAGTGTAAGACTACAGGGAAGGCAGCTAGTCATCACCGCCAACTCTTGGGTTACTCTTTTACCAACGAATAGTGTGATTGACTGTCACATTATAACGCCCCCCACGGCTGAAAGGGCGAGCATGTTTGGTGTGACGGGGATTCGAACCCGCGACCCTCAGATTGCGAGTCGAGTGCCCTAACCACCTGGCCATGCCGGGCCCAATACTCACGACGATCTTCGGGTTGTTTGGCTTTATGATGCTCTTTTAAGCCCAAGACTTTGCCAAGTATTAAATTATGAACGTTTTTAATTCTCAGAAATACTGTACATATGCTAATGTTTGTTCCTTCAATGATATAGTTGCTTATATAAAATGTTTTTTCTGTTTGTTTGTTTGTTTTTTAATACCAGGTTCCAGGAAAAAGTTCAGATTTCATCCAAAATTTCATGTTGTGCAAGTCTTTTATCTAAGGAGGAGCAAGTTTTGTTTGTGTCGCTTACTAGACTAATTTTCTTTCTTTTTTTATAAAATAAATAAATTGTACCAGTCACTGAAAAGCAAAAAACAAAAAACAGCCAAGTAAATAAAACACCGAGCTCATAAACAGGTGCCGCCTCCCCCTCGATGGTTCAGCGATAACCTTAAGAGCTTATAACGCTAAAATTCGGGAAACGATTCCCTCGCACAGACTATGGTGCTGTTTTGTGTTTGAAAACAAACATAAACACAAATTTGTATGGAACATTCTAAACTGGAGCCTCCCCCCCCCTCCAGTGGCACAGCGGTATGTCTGCGGACTTACAACGCTAGAAACTGGGTTTCGGTGCCCGTGGTGGGCAGAGCACAGCTAGCCCATTGTGTAGCTTTGTGCTTAACTTCAAAACAAACAAACATTCTAAACTAGAATATTCAGGATTTATTTGCAGCTATTTTAAGTCGTACTATTTCCTGTCTTACCTCCCCCTCCCCCCTTCCAACTGGTTCGAAGAAAACCTTAAATGTTATTTTAGTGTCAGTGTGATATCTCACATGCTGTACCATAACGAAATCCCACTAACATTTGCACGTGCATTCGACATTGTAGGAAGCCCCAGGTGTGGGGCAGGGCATCGTACCTTTTGGTGGTCTTCTGGACCTCCTCCTATCTCTATATCCCCCTCATCTGCTTCTCGGTGTTAGGCCTATGTTTTACCTTGAAAAGTAATTTTCTAGGTACATCATAAAGAACGGATCACTGTCTAAAGAACGTGATAAAACCAGACCTCCCACGGTCACTTTTAAATTGTATTGTCACCCGACGGTATCGTACATCACGTGCTCAGTTACCTGGTGTAGGACTAGCAAAGTCCGGCTTGTTTGCTGTTCACTCCCCCCCCCCCCATTCTCCTCAGTAGAGCGTTTTGGATAATCGTGTCTGTTCTTAATCTATTTTCGTAATTTTATTCTTCTTATTAGAAGTTGCCAAGTAACAACCCCTGTCAGACTTCTCTTGAGTTATTGTGTTTAAGTACTTTACAAGTAGTATTTTCTGTGTAAAGGTTTAAACTGGCGTAAAACGTTTTTATATACATTTATTACTTGAAAATGTCTCTGACGTGTAAAATTGATAGTTCTTTAGCTATTCATTATAAACCAACCTTATATACCGCCGTATAGTTTAATTAATTAACAAGTTTTCCAGTTGGACGTAATACAATACCAGGGCCAAGAATTTCGATCACCGAATTTTGAAAGGACGTTATGAGCCACAGGGTCAGCCAAGACATTATATTTGGTCCTTTGGTGGCTCAGCGGTAAGTCTGTAGTCTTACGACGTTAAAAATCGGGTTTCGACATCTGTGGTGGGCAGAGCACAGATAGCCCATTGTGTAGTTTATGCTTAAAAACAACTAACCATACCAGTACAACATATCTGATCACAGGAGCAGAAAACATGTTTTTCATTCGACGCTATTTGATACCTCTCACCAATGGTCATCAATACACGAATTCTCGTTAACCTTTATAATTCTATTGCTCATGTTAAATGGTCAGTAAAAATGGACGAGTTAGAGTGATTTCCCCGAAAGGGGGCCAAAGGCAGTCTGGAGGGGTCACCTGTTTCAACCACTCGCACCACTATACACTGCGTTGTCTGTCAATCAGTCAGTCAGTCAGTAGACACTAAAGTGACGTCACATAAGAGACGCAGTTCCTACTGTCGTGACGTGAGTAAAACGTGCGCATGCCACGCATTACGAGAAAAATTATGTACTCTGTAGGCTACAACACAGCATGAGATATGAACATCAAAAGCAAGAAATAAAAATATTTGTTACTCTTAATTTTGGTTTCATTTACTCTTGAAGCACACTTTCAGAGACCCTGCGGGAACTACATTCTAGAAGGTACATACAACAAGCACCCAATCGACACAGTGGTTACAGTATTAAACTGTAGTGTGTGACTAAAATTTTAGTTTTTAATTTTGCAAACTAAAATTACATCACTTTTGGTAAATTTTGAAGAGTGAGCTGTGTGTAATTTCTAGCTTGAAATTTAGTAAGTTTTTTTTTTTAAAACCAGATTAAAGATTAATACAGAAAATCTGGCGCTTTCAACTTATATTTTGGGTCTTTGATATCACCCACCTTTTTGCTAGTCCCCTCTGATCAGGCATGTTTCTTGATCTGAGCGAGAGGATTTTTTGCTGTGTTTTAAGTTAGTCTAGTTGCATCTCTCACTAAACATACATGTATTATTTAATTCAGAAAGCCATCTTTAATATGGTTTGGCTCGAATCGAAGCGCATCAGCCAGGTTACAGGCTAATCAGCTCAATTTTCGTTGTTCATTGCTTTATACCGTAGTAATGCCCTTCAAGATTTTTAATTTTTCGTTTGTTTCTTATTTGTGTGTGTATTTAAATTTAGCTAGCTACCTTTAGTGACGTCAGTGATATGGCACGCGGCGTTTTATATAGATATAATCTACACATTATTTTCCAACAGCATTTTTGTTA